TGGAGAATGAATTGCTGGCTCCACACAGGCATTCTCTGCCCATCCAGCTAATGAGCTCCATGAGCTGCAGTGGGGTCTCTCTGTCCCAGCTCCATACGGAGGAGCCATGTCAGACTGTCTGGAAAGAGCTGCAGGCACTGGTGACATCTGTGCGTCAAGGAGACGGAGCTGACACTGCAGCACGTTCATCGGCCAGCGAGGACGGCCACTAGGCAAGCAGGCTGAACCTAACTCGAGGGAGAACTGGGCCAGTCTTTGCTGAAAGGTTACCACTGGAGGTGTGAAGGGGCACAGGAATAGCCTAGGAAGTCCGTTACTAGGAGAGGAGTGAGAGAGGAGCAGAGAAAATAAACGGTATAATCTCTTAAATCTTTTCCGATTTGGTAGTTTAGATACACTCAAATGTATTTTTCTTTGAGGCAAGACTCAGAGAATCAGCTTTCAGTCTGCTATACTATCATATTTATAAATTTTAAAAAGCCCATTTCAGATATTTTATAGATATCAAATGCCTTTTTAATAGCAGATTTATAATTATTTTGAACATTCAAGCCTGTATGTTAGGCTCCAGTGGAAGCAACTGGGATTATTTATTAAATCAATATTGTGTTGTAACTATCACTTTTGTCCAAAGACTTGCAAGAATAAATTCTTAGTAAAGTGCTAAATACAAAGTAGGAGTTATGTAGTTTTGAAGTGGCAAATATTAAGAACAGTATTTATACGATGTTAACCTATTTAACTTTCCATTAAAAAAAAATCAGGCTACCGCCCCAGTGTACCAGCCATCTCAAAACTACCTTCCATTTATTAAGCATAAGTCTGACAGAGTGATAAAGCCCCGTGCATGCAGATGGATCATGTATTTCTCCCAAATATAGATGAGTTTCAGTAATGGCTTTTTAAAAATTGGAAGCAAATTATATTACATCAAATATGACTCAGTTTTTTATAAATGATTAGATAAAAAGTCTGCTTTAAGTAGAATTTATGTTGAAAAAATAATGAATATATAATATAAATGCATGGCAGCTACCATATTCCACTTTTAAGTGGATGGTCTGTTAGTCTGCTCACCTGTAGGCACTTACTACAGTCCTGTTTTTGCTACAAAGAATGTTTAGAGTGAAAGCCAACTATTCACTGACTCGCTACTTAAAATTACATGCTTTCTACATGGTTGGAGTCTGATTTAGTTACTTTCTGTGGGTGAATTACCTGGCTTTTATGAGCTCTGGGGTTTTGCTGTGTTAGATTTTGTGGGTGTGTGCTGCCTGTAAAATAGGAATAATAACGGCACCTCTTCTATAAAGTTGTAAGGATTCATCAGTTTATGTAAAACAATTATAGCAGCGTCTGGCACGTAGTGAGCAATCAGTGAGTAAGTGTTAACTGTTCTCCTGGTGGTATTTTCACTGTTGTGATTAACCTAAAGCAGGGCTCCGTGGGTCCATGATTTTCTCACCTCCACCACAAAATCCCCAGTAACGTCTCAAACCTGCATATGAGTGATAAAACCATACATCAGCAAGGTTACTTTTGCTTGTGTTTGTGCTGGCTTCAGCAAGGTCAGGGACCTACCGTTGGAAGACCATCTGTGTGGATGAAACACAGCTTTGCTAATACTACCGGCATCCCCCTTGGATTTTGCAAAATATGACCAGGATACCCACAGTTTGCCACATTCAGCTAAAGTATGATTTGGAGTCAGCAGATATTATTTCTTATAAAGCTTCTATTTTTAGATCCTGTAGGATGTGGAAGACCTCAGGGTGACTACATTGCATGGCAATAATAGACAGTATGATCTGTTCGATAATGAATTCCCTGACTCAGAAAAGATGTATTATTTTGTCTTGGCATAAATTCTGCTGGCTTGTTTTCTTTAAAGATACTGGTCAGAGCTGGAATCAGAACATATAAAAGTGTGAGTGAGTCAAAAAGATACATCACCACCACTAGAAGAAAATAAGGGCTTGAAAGAACAAACTACGAATGCTAAAAGCAGTGTAGATGTACCTCAGTGCATTTTGATCAGTGAGAGAAGCAAGACAAGAGGCACATACGTGTGGCTCCATGTACGTGGCATCTGGCGCAGGACAGGTCAGCGGTTAGCAGGAGCGGTCACAGGGAGAGGCGTGTGGCTGACTGCAAAGAGATCTAAGGAAGGTTTCGACGGAAATGTTTTGTATCTTAGTTGGGGTACTGGTGACATGATGGTAAGCATTTGTCAAAACTCCTAAAATACGCACCAAAAGGGTAAAGTTTACTCTTTGTAGATTGTATCTCCATAAATCTGGCGTTAAGAAATGAACCAAACACAGTTGCTTGTAGCATTTGACCCAGGCTCTAGTATGTACTGTACTATGAGTTCGTAGAACAGCGCATCCATTTTCCTCTGAGATGTTGATAGATTTCTTATGTATTTACTATGGATTTGTGTTCACTTATGACAGGCTTGAAAATCACATTTTTAGCTCATTAAGTATTTTACTTTCTCCTCTGTAAGTAGAAATTGTTTCGAAAGTACTGGAAAGATTTTCAGTTTCACAGAATATACTGCAAACGTTTCACAGTGTGTAAGCTTTCCATGTTGATGAGGATGCTTCTAGCTACAAACACCACCAGTAATACTTGACCTGGCATAGACAGTAAGGATGTTTATTGGCTTCATCTGTGGTTATGGGCTGGCTGCTCTGTAGCACTCAAGCCTTACACGTTACCCTCATTTACATGGAGCACCACAGAGAGATCGCTTTCTCCATGGTTCTTCCTTAAAAGTAAGGAGCCCCCTTTTCCAAAGCCCCTTGGTGCATATTCCCTCCTGTTTCCTTGGCTTCTGAACCAGTTGCTGTGGATTCTGGATTGTTAACCATTCAGGACCTCCCTTTTGATCCAGGGATAAGCTAGTTTCTCCAAGGCAAAGGCTGTGCAGTCGGGGGGTGCAGATACACTAAGCAAATCCAGACATTGTTAAGAAAGAGGGAGAAGGTGCCAGTCAGCCAAGCAACAGTGCTAGCACTTTACCCTGAATTTATTAAATTAAACCAAAACCTTGACTAATTGTGGAATTTGATGACTGCATAGTTCTTATTTCAGTATTTCTGAGACCACAGATGACTCAAACAGTTTTATGTTCCCTTACCCAAAGAGTTCACGTAAAAACACTTCATTTCAGGGCTGCTGTGAGAAGCAACGTGGAGACTTCCCACGTTAGAGGGATAACAAGCATAAAGTAGATCTCCTATATGTTAATACAGTGAAGCATTCATACAGCTTAATAGCATTTTATACAGTTTAAAATGTAGCATTTACATAAATAAGACACTGGTATAAAATATACCTTGGTCTGCTGTGGTACTAGAGTTTTTACTAAACCCTCCATACATTCCTGGAGTGAAAGTGGTATTTTAGCAAAGTAACTAGGTAGACATTTCTCAATAAAAAGATGTTTAGATATAAAATATTAAATAAGGTTTTTTTTTTAATAAGGGTTTTAATATTAAATAAGGGTTTGGATGGTTGAAGAAGGCTCCAGGGACATGGCATGGAAAGTCGGCCATCAAAAGGAAGGCAAGTTTCAACACCTAGAGAGAAGCACTGAGAGGATACGCCAGACAGAGAGGATGGAGGGAAGAAGGGTTTGGGGAGGGCCGGGGGCATGTTTGGATAATGGTGGATTAGATGAGAGTCTGGAGGGAAGGATGCCTGTAAAGAGAAGGATGAGAAGGGAGTTTGAGGGACGTGAGTAGAGATGAGGGTTGAGCAGCCCTGAATGGTACACAGAGTCTGGACTGTACCCTGTTGGTGAGAGGGGTGTTGAAAGCTTGCTTTCTTTGGGAAGTGGGACCATCTGGAAAGAGCAGTTTTAGAAGGATTCCTCTGACAGCAGTATGCAAGGTGAGCCCAAGCCGAAAAACAGAATCAGCTCATTTCACAACGATTGATCGGCCTGGGCTTGAGATGTGGTAGGAGCGAAACCAGGCGGCGGTGACGAGCACTTAAAAGATGGATTGCATGACATGTCACATCAGGGGCAGGAGTGGGTAGCTGACTGGTTTATGTAGTAGGGAACTAAGTTTAAAGTAACTCAAGGTCCAAAAGCCGGATGACTGGAAAGGGATGGAACCTTTGCCAGGATGGTACCATTCAGGTTTGGGGTAGGAGTGACAGGATTGAGGTTTTCCAAAAAAATGAGTTTGGCCTTACATCGACAGCACGTCAGAGTGGTAGCAAACGTCCAACAACAGATGAGATTGCTGCTCATCCATCCATTCAGCAATATTTCATTGAAGCATTGTCGACATTCTGTCATACAGCCATAGCAAGGAAAAAATGTTGCTGTCTTTATGGAACTAGCAACATTATACAGTTATATTAAGCAAATATATACTGAGGAAATAATGAAATGTGTGGATTTAATTAAAAGTAGTGGGCAGAAGGAGGTGGGTGGGGGCATAGATGAAACAAAGTTAACAAAGAGCTGACAGTTGTTGAATCTCAGTGATGGACACATGGGGGTGCATTTTATTATTTTCTATACTGGTGTATAATTTAAAATTTCCATCATGGTTTTCTAAAAGGCAAAAAGTTACCTGCCTAGAGCTCGTAACTAGATGAGACGTCTGAGAGAAAGATGAAATCATGTCCAAAAAGTAGTCTGAGGGAGGTAGGGAAACACTGAGCCGAGCAAATATAGTGTGTGGGAACCGAGAAAGGCAAAAGGGGTTTCAAGGGGAAAAAATGGACGGTAGTGTGAACTGCTGCAGAGGTCAAAGAGGTCGTTTTAAGTTAAAGAAGTTGTTCAGGTGATGTAGAGCAGATGGCATGTATCTAATTCTGTTCACTTCTGGTTTTCCATTCCTTCATGGCAGGAAGGAAACAGGGACCTGAGAAGCTTGAGGAAACTGTCTGATCAGACCCTTTATTTGGGTGCTTTTTGCTTGAGAAATATTGTTCAAGGTTTACTGCCTAACATGTGAATATCTATTCTATTTTAGGAGACTAATGAGCAAAAACTTCACAAAATAGCCAATGAACTGTTGCTGACGGAAAGAGCCTATGTCAGCCGACTTGACCTCTTAGATCAGGTGAGAGTCTCCCTTTCCGTATTATTTTACTCTTCGGCGTTACACACCATTTTAACTTAGTAATTAAAGTGTTGTAGAACCCAAAAGGAGGTCATGAGTGTTTGTGGCCAGTGAAAGCTACTTCTTCAAGGAAATCCTAAGGGTGTTTAGTTTTGTCAGTGAATTCACGAGGTGTAAAAGTTTTTAATTCATAAACAACTGATTCAAAGACTCTGTAATAAGTCACAAAATGCCTTTATCTGTGTCTTTTGACCCTAAACACCAGGCTGTTGTCTTGGCTACTTATTGTGATCCTTGCGCCGTGTTACCATTATACTTAGGTAAGTGATTCTGATGGTAACGTGAATGTATCGATTCAGTTTGTCTCGTTTGCTGCTCGGCCCCATGTGAGTGATCTAAATCGGCTCAGTCACAGGGTGGAAGGGATTGTGAGAGTTCACTTGTCCAGCCTTGTATGAAGTGTTTAATGCGTGCCTGGTGTAAACTTGCACAGGCAGGATCTGGGAATCTACTTTAGCACGTTTTGTACCTTCATCTTGATGGTGGACCCTTCAGTATCATTTCAAGTATACATCTGCCAAGCAAGTTTTAAAACACATCCTAAGAAAAACTGTGGAGGACTAAGGCCTGTTAGTCCTGTTTTAGCCATAAAAGAACAAGATAATTGGTAGATTGTCTGCTAATACAGACTCCTCTTATTAGAAGAGAATGTTGCAATGTTCGAGCATTATTTTTAAGTAGAATTGTCCCACTCCTGGTACTGGAACTTCATAGGCACTGGCCGTCTTGATACACCTCCTTATCATCGGTTCCCAGAGTGACTACATCCCTGTTTGAGTCTTAAGGAACCAGGTTAAGGCTTACGTTCTGTGAAATCAAATATTCTCCAAAAAATTCGCCAGAAGTCCATCAGTTCATGTTGAGTCTGTGCCTTTGAAACAACCTTTCTCTTCGTGGGCGCTACAGCCCTGAAACTTGTAGGTATTCCCATAGTGGAGGTGGGTCGTTCCCTCTTACCAAGTTTTCTTTTTCTTTTTTTCTTTCTCAGCCGTATTAGCTTGTCAGCTACTATTGCTGACCTTTGACAATTTTTAGAGTTTTAATTACAATATCCTATCAGTTGGAGTCTCTCAGGACATAATTTTGTGTTCTTTTTGCCTCCCAAGAAAATGCAGTGGAGGTGAATTTAGAAAATTAATAACCATCTGGAATTCATGCAAGAACAGACCTCCTTCTGCCTACATTTAGCAGAATGGCAGTTAAGAGGTGTAGTAGCCCTTGTGGAGTATAGCTGAGACTGCAGGGGTTTTTCTTGTCTTTAAGATACCTGTTGTTACATACAGGAGATGTTTTTATCCTCATACCAGTGTTTTAAATTACCGTGCATCATCATTTACTAAAAAGCAAAAAAACATCTGAGAGATGAAATACTCTTTTGTCCATCCATTGACCGGATATTTATAAAGCACCTTCTACTGTGGGAACTAGACTGTCGTGCCCTCACTCCCCAAGAAGCATTGTTTTAGTAGGGAAAATGAGATTTAAGCCAACAAATTATAATAAAGGGCAATATGTAGTAAGTGCCATGAAAGTCATTGAAAAATAAAGAAGAGTGGAAAATACTGCAGTTATTGTGTGTAATAAGGTTTTCTGTATCTCTTAATTCTACCTATAGATAGGAAGTAAACCCAGTAACCTCAGTTAGAAATTCTGGCACAGAAAACATCCCACTGAAAAACCAAAGCCTCGGTCAGAGTCAAGTCTCCTAATTATTATCCCTGATTCTTCTCAATCAAAGCACATAGTCCTACATATAAAAAATGATTGATTGATTGAACTGCGAACTTTGCCATTTATTCAATAAGCAGTTCCTAAGAGCCCATTGTGTGCCTATCACAGTGCTTGGTGGTTAACCAGTAAATTTGAAGTAATGGTTGCTTTATTCTCTTACTCAGGTGTTTTATTGCAAACTATTAGAAGAAGCAAATCGAGGGTCATTTCCAGCAGAGAGTGTGAATAAAATATTTTCTAATATTTCATCAATAAATGCCTTCCATAGTAAATTCCTGTTGCCAGAGCTGGAGAAACGAATGCAAGAATGGTAAGAGGAGCAGATAAGATCACAAATGGTATGTGTAAGGCGGTCATACTAGCTGCTGTGTTATTCAGCTTTTAAACTGAAATAGCAGTGCTACGCAGATCTGTGGCCAAATATTTGTGCTAAATTTTTATGTTAAAAGACCACTGATGGAAGTGTGGTACATTTTTGGCTATAGCTGAAAAGGATTTCATCTCTGCTGTCCAAACTACCTTTTGATAGTGGAGACAGATATTAGGGGTGATCTGGAGCTTCAGGAATTCCATAGCAAATCTCTTTACTATGTCATTCCTAAACTTCCTTTAAAAAAGTGCTTCTTCACTGGGGATCAACAGTCGTGAAGCTTAGAACCTCACCCCCCTGTGTTGAGAGAAAGCTGCTGCATCCGTGGATGTTTTATTGCCCTTGTCCAGCTCGGATCAGCACATAGTCTACAGGCACACACCTGATCATCTACAATTGCTCTCTTACAACACTGAACTATGTCTTCTACCTTTATCTTGCATCTACCTACCACTTCAGCATTTTATTAAAAATAAAAATAATAATAATAATA